TTTGAGGCTTGCGGTGACTATGAAGAAAGCAGTCTTCTGGGATTTGGCACCGTGTATATGTGGTGTTAACCGACGTTTCAGAGGAACGTATCGTCTCCATCTTCAGGGTAGAAGAAAAAATATAAGAAATCTGCAAGCGAAGAGAACGTGAGAACCGGTAAAAGCAGACTGTCTGCACGTTCCTCCGAAACGTCGGTTAACACCACATATACACGGTGCCAAATCCCAGAAGACTGCTTGTTTCGTGTTATTGAATATCTTTAGGATAATACACAGTAGTTGTCAGCATAATTATTATTAGCTATATATTGGTCAATGTTTACAAGTTCTGAATATAGTAAAAATTACTGAACGAAATATGCGGACGGTAATGCCAGAGTTGATTTATTGCCTAGTCCCAGTTGTTTTTAACTTTTAATGTTAAGTTACCTAAAATTGTTAAAATTTTCATGTGAGTTATATAATTAAAATGTTATTTACATATTCAGTAGTATACGGCTAGTGTTTAGCGTATACGTGCATTTGATACTGCCAACCGCTGTGCTTGTTTGCAATAGTCGCGACAATAAAGAGCTGCATATAATGAACGTAACTGTATGCAATAGTGTTATAGACTCACTGTGTGGACATGAAGCTTCTCATTAGCAATTGATATTATTATTGTCTCTCTGAAGTAATTCACGGGTTGCGTCATAATAGAATAGTAACGTAAATATTTATGCCATCATTATGAAATATTAGATTCTACTTTTAAATTAAGAAGGAGCCGGGATAGCTCAGTCGGCATAGCGACTGGCTACGGGCCGAACGATCGAGGGGTCGGAGCTCGAGTCGCGGTAGTGTCAAAAATTTTCTCTTCACTACGTCATCCAGACTGGATCAGGGGTCCACCCAACTTCCTATCCAATGGGTACCGAGGCACTTTCCCTGGGTTAAAGCGACCGGTGCGTGAAGCTGACTACTCACCTTCAGATAGTGCCGAGGTCAAGGAACAGTGGATCTATACATCCACTCCCCCATACGCTTAATTAGTTAAGCACAGGGGCAAATTTACCTTTACTTTTACTTTTAACTAAGATGGGAAAAGAAATTGTTGCACTAGAAATCTCTTTGAAAAGCAGGATTGTATTCTGTAAGGTTACCTACTCGAGGGAAGACATATTCTCAAAACTGTTTCAGATAAAGAATATTCGGTTTGGATACATCATGATAATAACTGTTTCTCTTGTAGGAACTATTTTATATAAGTACTACATAAGAGGATTTTGCTGGTCAGAGGAAGTCGTATTATAAATGTAGGAACATTTATTTAAAATGTATCCGATGATTACAACTTTAAGTGTCATATGTACGGAAGAAGTGATGATTAAAACAGGTGAAATTTACCGATGACTGAACAGAAGGAAACCCCCGGTTGTAACAGCTTACTGAACCAACTCATATACAAACTGTGTCTTGTACAATTAGCTTCATTGTCAAGAGCAAATAATGCAGCCATTTTATGCAGACCGAAGTTATAATAATATTTGTCTTCTAGAATATGACCCATTATAGTCAGACAAATATTGAACGTTTCCGAGGATTTTTCTGCTTCCATCTACATGGTCAAAATTTAACCAAGCAACCAGCAAGAAGCAAATAGCTACTTTGCTGCTTGTGCTTCTGTGACTTACCCTTTGACTGTGGTGCTGGAGAGACATCGTTCCTCTGACATTTCAGTACACCCCTAAGGAATTATACGTCATCATATTCCACAAGATAAAACTCTTCTCTCAGTCTAAATTCCGACCGAAATTGATATTTTTGTATTTATAAATATTTAGCACACTTCACGTTACTTGAATATTTTTAATTCAGTGCTACGAAGGAGAGTCA